ATGAGACTACCGAAATTTAAAATCAAAATTACATAAAATTAAAAATTTGGTTCCTCAGTCACACTGGCCAAAGTGTAAGTATTCGAGAGCCACAGGTGGCCAGGAGCTACTATATTAGCACAGATATAGAGCTTTTTCATCATTTTGGAAAGTTCTATTAGCCTTGAACTAAAAGATCATCGATTTCTTAGACAAGTTTTTGGTTAATCCAAAAATGCATATTTTTTCCTGATCACATGCATGCCATGGTAATAAAAAGTAACTGGACTTAATGTCAGTTCTAATCTGCAGAAGAATGAAATGTTGAATGATTAATGTTAAATGACTAGTATACATATACCATGATATACCCTCAAAGGGTAATGTCTAAGTGTATACCCATATTATTATTTTGGGAACACAAGTTAACATATGTTGTGTGGCTACTTTTGAGAAAGATCAAAACTTTAATACAGCATAAAGAAGAGCCCGGTATTTAACGCATATTCTTGCCACAGGGAAATTTGGAAGGAAGAGTATGAGCAGGAAAATCGATTCCCAGAGTAGTAACTCAAAAATGCATCAAGTAGCTCTAAGTTTCTTTAAAAGTCTCCTTAAAAATATTACAGAAAAGCCCTTTCTAATTCCATTAATATAATAAAGGCACTCTGTCACCTTCTAATTTGTTTTAAATGAACCAAGAATCACTTAGTAACATGAGCACTTTGATCAATACTCTTCGACTATAATAACACTAAATATAATCTGTTGTGAATGGTTATTATATTACTATACTACCTGGTTTTACTGATTTAGAACACACTTCAGAATATTCATGATATATAACTCCAAATGCATAATATATGTTTGGTCACATCTCTGATTAAAGAGCACTTTTGGTATTTCTAGTTAAAAAAAGTATCATAACCGTCTTGGTTACGAATATAAATTCATTTATGATGGTGTTTCTATAAGACAATCAGATATAACATACTTAGATTTATAGAACTTCATACAGTACGGTAATCTAACAAAACTGCAAAGACTACTTAAAATACTTTTTTAGGATATAACTTTCTAAAGCAGAACATTTGAGAACTAGATATGACTCAAGTACATTTACTTAAGATGCTACAAGAGGCACTCCAGCAGAGTCGTTAGGGCCACGATGCAGGAGCTAGTCACCTTAGGCCTGAATCCCTAATCCATCACTTACAATTGTCTGATCTTAGGCAACTTACTTTATCTTTCTATGCCTACATTTTATTATTTATAAAAAAATGGGGATAAAAATTGTACTAACTCATCAAAGCAAAGTATTCTGGAATATTGCACCTACTCAGAAAGGAGTGCAGTAAAATGGAAGCCTGCTAAATAAAAGGAGTGGGAGCACTTTTCACACTCATTCTCCTTAAAAAAAAAATTGTACTCACTTACTGGATTGCTGCCAGGATTAAATAGGTTAATACCATAGAAAGCACATAAGAAACCCTTTATTAGTGCTTGCTATTTTTTTTATTGCTAGTAATGTAGGGGGACAATAAACATGCATATAAATAAATGAGATTACTCTGGATAGTGATAAATGCTGTGAAAAAACCGAAAAGGAGTTCCAGTTTTACCAGAATGGTGTAAATCCCTTATAACCCATCTCACCCACTAATTATAACCATAAACTCTGAACTAAATTCAAAAGCCAAACCAAAACAAACAACTATCCAAGGGTTCTGAAAAGTAAAAACACAGATGGATTATGGAAGGGAATTAAAACTTGGAAAAGCAACCAGCATGGGGATGCGTTCTGCATTTTCTTTTTCCTCTTATGGCTTTGCCCTGAGGGTGGAAAATAACATATTACATATAAGGGAACAAAGATACCAGTGTCCACAGATTTCTCATCAGAAATGAAGGAGGCCAGAAGAAAGTAAACAACATCTTTAAAGAGGTGAAAGAAAAGCACTGGCAACCCAGAATTCTATATCCAGTGCAAATATCTTTTAGGAATGAAGGAAAAAATACAGACATTTTCAGATGAAGGAAAACTAACAGAATTTGTCACCAGCAGAACTGTTGTCTATGCTATGTGCAAAGTCTATACTATGTGAATTCCTAGTAAAGATTAGATTCCAGGGTGGTAAATCTAAGCTAATAAATGGTTTCCATTAATTAGGGGTTAACTTCAATTTGTGGCAAATTCCACATCTCTTTTAAGGAACTTTTAAAAATGTTTACATCTTCCTAGAAAAACATTCTGTATTTATATGGGTTCAGATTTAACGAGAAGTTCTATGTAGTTTAAGTAGGAAAAAGCACGTTTGACGTGTCTTGAATAAATGACCATGTAAATCTCTACGAACAAGTTAAATTAAAATTACTTTACTTTTCCTAAAATTTAAAATTTATAAAGTACAGAAGCCTCATCTCTTAGATGCCAAAGGGTAAAAATTGTAACTATCATGCATGTAAAACAAATTTTAAAACATTTTATTTTTACAAACTACTGATTTATCTAAATAAACCACTATATAATCTGGATAAAAAATGAATTTAAATAAAAAGAATTTAAAATAGACTCTGGTTTTGACAAGAAGGCAAGCTATTAAACAGACATCTAAAAAGGAGCCAAAGAAAGGAGACAATCACCTCATGCTTTACTTAGTTGTTAGAATCAAATCAGGTCACATAATATATGGTTTCTGGTCTATGATTTATGTCACTGTCAAGCAATCAACACTGGAACACAAGGGAATGATGGAAATGCACTTCCTTATTTCAGAGGGAAATACTTATCATGAGAATGTGTCCTGGTAACTAGCTGATAAAAATACCAGATACAATAAAATCAATTTTTTAGTCTTTCACATATATTTTATTAATCAGTCATTTGCTATCAAGTGAAAAGCAGCCAGATAATTCAGATGATACACTGAACAGAAACAAAAATAATAAAATGTTTTTAAGGCTAGTCAATTTCATTGATTCTAACATCAAAAATTAGTATTAAATTGGAGCATTTTACTACCTTCACTTCGTATCTTCTAGAGATTCCTCCCTAACTTCATTTGTAAAAGTTGTTAAAAGGATATTCTATTTCTTTATTTGTTCACTCAATGAATATTTGCTGAGTGCCTACTTATACTTAATGAGCCAGGCACTGTGCTCAGCGCTAAACAAGATAATATACAGTTCCCTCAGGGAGTTTAGTTAATGGAAAGACATTAAACAGATAATCACACAAATATTTAATTACATTAGAATAAATACAGTAAATGAAAAGGAAAGTGTACACTGAGACCCTATAATGGAAGCCTAACCAGTTCAAGGAGTACAGGAAGGACTTCTAGAGGAAGTTACATTTAAATGCTTCATCATCTGTATATCCCAGGCATTTATCAAAAGGCGTAGCACATAGTATAAACTCAATAAAAGTGTGTGAAAGTGAATTAAATAATTGCTTTAATGGTAATTTCTCCAAAGTGTGCCTCAGTGCCTATTACAGTATTTTGCATAGTAGAGGTAGCTAATATGTATTTGTTGAATAAACAAATTAATGAAGTAGTTTGCTTCTGTGAAAAGAACTCAGCTTTGGAAGCAGACACAGTTAGGTTCAAATGCAGGCTGTACTACAAACCAGCTGACCCCTGGCACACTCTTAAAGATAGGAATATTTACGTTATAGGCCCATGGAGAGATTTAGATACAATGCACGTAAACCACCTAAGCAGAGTGCAGGACAATTGGAAAGAGCTCACTAAATGATCACTAATAATATTATTTTGCTCATCATTTGTAGAATTAACAAAGGAGAACCTTGACACAAGTCAGCAAAGTCAAAAAGATTTAAACAGACTGCCCTAAAGACTTTTCTTGTGTGGAAAGAGTTTGATGATACACATATACGCATGAGGAGAGAGTCAAGTAATAGATTCCTGCACATAAGCCAGACTTGGGCTTAGATTTTCATGAACCTATCTGGCCAGAGTCAATAAAGAGATAGGATTTTCAAAGTACAGAGGGTAATATCTACGGGAAGATTAGCTGTCTTGTGTAGATCAAGCAATGAGGATGTGTGGGTTCTCTCTAGACTTACTGTGTAAATTCTGCATACACTTCTGAGGCTCTATCATGTGAAATACTGTTCTGTTCACTGGAGATGCAATGATGAGCAAGATGGAGCCCTTGCTTTTCAGGAGCTAAATGTGGAAGTAACAGAATTACACAGCAGGAACTATAGCAGAAGATGGTTGAGCACTTAGTCTGGTCTTGATATTTAGGCAAGACTTCTTAAAGGAGAAGATATCTCAACTAAAGTCTTAAGAATGAGTTACACCATATGATGAGGTGAACACATATTGTTTTATGAATAAGTAATAGCAGAAAAGGCAAGGAAGAGTTAAATTGCATAAAACGGGTACTGATCTTAAACAGCCTGCTATCACTACAACAGTGGAGTGGAGTGGGAAGAATTTACGCTGAAGAGATAGAGAGGAGCCAGGTCACGAAGCCTGGAAACAATTAGATGGGAGATAGTGCGTCAAATCTAAGCAGCCTTCCGGACTGCAGGTAGAGGAAACTGCATAGGGGAGAGCAAAAAGTGTTTTTTACTGTGTTTTTCTTTTTGGATCAAGATTATCTGTAAGTACCCAGAATTAATGACTTTTCATTAGATGATATTCTTTACTGTGTTTTAGGTAATAACAATTCATTTATCATTCCAAGAGACTACAGTCAATCCAAGTCACGTCATCCCAAACACAGTATCTGACAATTACAGGCACCCAGGAACACCCTTGCACTCACCCAGCACACTCTTAGGACTTCGAGACTTTGGGTTCTAACACCTACATCTAGAGTTTATTTGCAGGTAGAAGCTGCAAAGAGTATCAAAGGGAGTAAAGAAAAGTTCACTCTTCCTACCCTCAAGGATCTTGTCATTTGGTTAAGGAAACAGGAGATACTAAACTCAGCTTGAAAAACAGAGAACTAACTACAAAGACAGGAAAGAGAAAAGAAAGACTTACGGAGACCACACTCTTGGGAAAGCCTCTATTTCTTCTTGTGTGTACTCATCGAGACGTCTGGGTACTTTCCGAGGTTGAGGAAGCTCTTCCACTAAATTCTTAAGAATATCTTCTGGTATGTCCTACATTAATAAAAATTTAGGCTTAATTTTATTAAAACGTATTCCATAGTAATACTTAGTAATAAAAGATAACAAAGGAATATTTACAGGATTAGGAAAACAATATAATCTTTAAGTTAAAACTTTGTGAAAATCCCTGAAGAGTACATTAAATCAATGATATAAGTAATCTCATTATAATAATACACTCTATATTTTAATCTTGACAAACATATTTCTCATGATATATTAGACATCTTCAATTTTGACAACTATTGAGTCAGTAAGTTTTATCTATTTTTTCCACATACCGTTCAATTTATTGCCCTCCCTTCAACTATAAAGAAGGTACTGCCTTGGGTCATTCTCATAATTTTTCATCTGATGCGTGTACGTATGCACTGGGTCTATTACTTCCAGTGCCACAACCTTTCAACCCATACTCCATATTGTTGCCAGAAAAAACTCACGAAAATGAAAATCTGCTGGATCTTTGAGTCATTTAGCCAACATTTATTGAACTCCTTCTATGAAGCAGAAATTGTGCTAGGTGCTGAGTATATGTAAAAAAATAAAAATAAAAAGATCATAGCTTCTAAAGGCTTGCAATTTTTAAAACATTACTCCTGAAACCAGGTCCTCACTTCTAGCCCACCTCTCCAACTTCACTTCACTCGCACACCCATGGCTTCTGAGTTATCAGCCTCCTTGCCTTTCATACATTGGTCTACACTCAAATCCTAGTGTCTTTATTAATGGTATTCCCTCTGCCCAGAACAGCTTTCCCCTGGTTATATATCCAAATGTTTAGAAAAATGAAAGAAAAAGTAAAATGCAAAAAAGTCTGAATTTGGGTAATGAAAAGCAAACTAAAGAGTAAAACATATATTTGAGAGATATTTTGAAAGGAGGAGGAACAGGAATTGAACTAAATAAAGGGCATGATAAAATGAAGAGTAAGAGTAACCAAAAGAATTAATATTTATATTGTGCTCATGATACAGAAACAAGGGAAAGGGAATTAACTGTATTGTGAGTCTGGATGATAACTTTAGAGACTCTACTGAACTAATGGTAAGATATCAATACGGAAGTGTCCTATGGGCATTTCTACAGGGACAGTAAATATATTTCCCTCTTTTCATTATAGTGTGTTCCCAGAAACTTAAAAAAAACCCCATTATTATTCAGTAAATTACAGTTCTCTACAGAGAGCATATTATAGTTGAGAATCAAATACCTGGGCAAGGACATGGCATGAAATAAACCATTGTTTTGACTAATCAATGTCTTAAGAATACAACAATTTATTCAAATTTATAAAATTTATAAATTTATTAAAATTTAAAATACAATTTTAAAGTAGCTTTAAAGAATTACAGAGCTCTAATGCGTTATTGTAGGCGTGTTCTAAAACCTATTATGGCAAAATTTTTTTTTTCAGTTTTTTTTTTATTGAGTTATTGATAGGTTACAATCTTGTGAAATTTCAATTGTACATTAATGTTTGTCAGTCATGTTGTAGGTGCACCACTTCACCCTTTGTGCCCATCCCCCACCCCACCTTTTCCCTGGTATCCACTAAACTGTTCTTGGTCCATAGTTTTAAATTCCTCATATGAGTGGAGTCATACACAGATTATCTTTCTCTCGCTGGCTTATTTCACTTAACATAATTCTCTCAAGGTCCATCCATGTTATTGCAAATGGAATGATTTTGTTCTGTTTTGCAGCTGAGTAGTATTCCATTGTATATATGTACCACATCTTCTTTATCCATTCGTCTGTTGATGGGCACTTAGGTTGCTTCCACGTCTTGGCTATTGTAAACAGTGCTGCAATAAACATTGGGGTGCACAGGACTTTTGGGATTGCTGACTTCAGGCTCTTTGGATAAATACCCAGTAGTGGGATGGCTGGATCGTATGGTAGTTCTATTTTTAGTTTTTTGAGGAATCTCCATACTGTTTTCCATAGTGGCTGCACCAGTTTGCATTCCCACCAGCAGTGTATGAGGGTTCCTTTTTCTCCGCAACCTCTCCAACATTTGTTGCTATTAGTTTTAGATATTTTTGTCATTCTAATGGGTGTAAGGTGATATCTTAGTGTAGTTTTGATTTGCATTTCCCTGATGATCAGCGATGATGAGCATCTTTTCATGTGCCTATTGGCCATCAGTATATCTTCTTTGGAGAAATGTCTGTTCATGTCTCCAGCCCATTTTTTGATTGGGTTGTTTGATGTTTTGTGATTGAGTTGCGAGAGTTCTTTATATATTAAGGATATTAAGCCTTTGTCAGATATATGACTTGCAAATATTTTTTCCCAGTTAGTGGGTTGTTTTTTTGTTTCAATTATTATGGCAAAATTTTAATAAAATCTTTTAAAATTTAAGTTCACATTTTAAAATTATGGTTCGGAAAAGCTGAGTCACTATCAACATATACAAAACATAATCAATACTACTGACAATGTGTTTCTTGACTGAAAAGCATTTTAAAAATATTTAGTATCCCTTCCTCAGCATATTCAAATCTGTAAGTATAATTATGCAGAATCAGAACAAGCAGAGGATGCCTGGACATATGAAATATTAAGTGACTTATTTTTCACTTCCTGAAGGAGCCTACCTGCCAGTTTGATATTTATAAAAATTTATAAATATGTCACACTTCTTTGGGAAGCCATTAAAAAATCTCTACCTTATTTGCAAAGACAATTTCCAAAGTTGTCAAGTGCTCACTCAGCATAGAAGGTGTGGAGCATATGGGCTCTTAGTAAATGTTTGCTGAATTGATAGAATTTTGACGGAAATGAGCTTACCAAATTTCCCCAGTATTAGAAGAATTCACTGAAAGAATGAATAAAATCAATGCAAAATGAGGAATGAAAGTTGTTGATTAGGCATTACACATGGAACCAGGAAGGGGGGAGTGCAGCCTTTAATCTGCACGCAGAGAAGATAACCCAGAAACGCTGACTGAATGTGCTCATGGAGATTTAAGAGTCCCTTGCACAGAGGGGGTGGTTAAGCTGAGAGGGGAGCAGGAAAAAGAGTAAGAGGAGAAAAGAGAAACACAGAGGCGAGGTGATCATTTAGTTTATTACTACTTTTTTGTATTTTTTGAAGAAATTTCAAATCTACAGAAAAGTTGTGAAAATACAGCGAACACTCAGCTACCCTTCACCTAAATGCACCAATTGTTAAAATACGACACTTGCTTTCTTTTTATCTATCCACAAACACATGTACACAAACACTTTCATTTTGGCTGAACCATTGGAGAGTAATTTGCAAATATTTCACCCCTAAAAATTTCAGCAAATATCTCCTAAATATAAAGATTGTCTCCTATGTAACCTCATTACAAATTCATGTTCAGGAAAATTAACATTGATGAAATACTTTTTATCTAATATACAGTGTATATTGAAATTTCCAAAACTGGCCTAATAATAATCTTTTATCTATGTTTTTTTTCCAATGCAAGATCCAGTCAAGGATGACAAACTGCATTTAGTTATTATATTGTTTTTATGTTGTTTAACATGCATAATGTTCTTAAGTCAAGTCTCCTTTAATCTGAAGAGCTCCCTTGCTCTTCCTGTCTTTCAGGAAATTAACATTTTTTAAGAGTCCAGCCCAGTTATGTTGCAGAATGTCCTTTTATTTGGATTTACAGTATTGTTTCCTCATGAGTAGATGCAGGTTAAATATTTTTGGCAGGACACTATATAGATTATGTTGGGTCTTCAGTGCTTCACTCATCTCAGGAGAGACACGATGTCAGTTTGTTCTATATTGATGACACATTTGATCTCTTGGTTATCGTTGGTGTCTACCAGATATCTTTAATATAAAAGTATCTTTTCCTTTTTCGAATAGTGAAACTCTGTGAATATCCTGTTCCACATATTCTTTTACCTGACTATAGAATATCCTGATAATGGTCACTCTTCTAATTTAGTATTATTTCTATATTTTTTTCAATGACATTTTTCCCTAAAGAAGAGCTTTTCCTTTTCCAGAAAGAAGAAGGGAAATTATAACAAGTTAAAAATCATTTTTAGACTATCACCATGGGCTCAAAGATTTTTGTTTCCTATTCAATGTAATATATTATTAATAACATTCATTTTGTGGCTCACACAATCCCATATTTGGTCAGTGGGCACCAACTCCAGCTGCCTCATATGTTCTCTTGATATTTCTCCATTGGGTTTTGAGCACTGCCTTACCTTCTGTTACTTATTATTTTACTATTTGCATGTGTATACTCTGTAATAACTTTGCTCTTTCTCTGCTCCAGACTTAGAACCAACCATTTCTCCAAGGAGAACTAGGTTCTTTTTAACAGGGAACAGCATTTAGAAAACAAGATCTGGACGCTTATACTTACTTCTACTGGTGCTGTTATTTTATTTTTTAAATATGTAAAATCTTAATGTGAAAAAAAGTTAAAGTAAAAAAACAAATAATCTAAAAGGTATTCTCCAAAAAATTGCATTCTCTTCCGTATTCCTTCCACCTCTTTATGCCCATGCTCCAGTAAGTAGCCAACTTCACTTTCTCATTTATTCTTCCTGTGTTTCTTTATGCAAAAAGCAGATATAGTACATATGTGTGTACAAACATACATATGAATATATGTATACAAAAGGTAGTATGCTATCTATATTCTTTTTCACCTTGCTTCTCTTCACTTCACAATATATCCTGGAAAGAATTACTTGTGAAGTCATAAAAATATTTGTCATTCTTTTTTTATAATTGCATACTACCAAACTGAATGGATATAACATAGTTTATCCGATTTCCTATAAATAAGCATTTATTTATTTATTTTACTATTATAAATAATGTAGAAACAATAATCATGTGTATCTTCAGAGTAAACTGCTACAAACGAGATTGCTGGATCAAGCACAAATCTCCTTATGTATATCTTTTGTTAAATGTTACCTAATTCCCAGATTCCTTATGGGTTGCACCATTTTGTACTCCGACCAGCAATGTGTAAGTGTCTGTTTCCCAAAGGCTTTTACAGTAAAATGTGTTGTCAAGCTTTTGAATATAACAATCTATTTTTGGGGAATGGGCTCATTTTTTTTATAGTCTGAAATTATTTAAGGAATTTACTGTTCAACTGAACTACCATAAATACTTAAACCATCCACATTCAAACCTCACTATCTTATAACTAGGATAAACAATATCATTATTTTTCACATCTTTTAGAAATTACGGTTTCTAAAAAACAGTGACAGTACAATCAGGAACAGGAATTTTAAAACTCTTGAGATTTCATGAAGGTCATTTATTCTTAGATGCTGTACTTCTGTACTTGTTAACTCAGAGGTAAAGTGAACAGTGGAAGTTATTCTACTCATTCATGAAAACCAATGGTAATAAATTAACCATTTTGATAAAAGCATGAATAATTTACTCATGCATTGTTTAAGCTAACAATAGAGCACAGAAGTAGCTTGAATAGTTGGTATAATTTGATATTCTGGAATGAATTTCTACACTATTCCTCTGGTAGGAACTACAAGAACAATCATAACCATGGTAATGACAGCAACTAGCACTTAGTGTGCCAGACCCTGTCTAAGCACTCTACAAATGTTATCTCATTTAACTCTTACAACAATCTTTAAAGGAGGCACTATTATTACACCCATTTCACAGATGAGAAATAGAGATACTAAGTTAACTAGCCACGGCCATGAAGTCAGTATATGGTGGGCCATGGATTCTAATCCAAACAGTATGATTCCAGAGCCTGCACTCAACTATTTTATTATAGAACCTCTAGTGTTGCAATATATTATACTAAAGAGAAAAGCAAGTACTTAAAACAGTGTAACAGTAATAAAAATGTTTATACTTTTTTCCAAGTACTTTTTAGCTAAATAATTTTAAGTAAGAACAAGCAATCTAAAATTCAATCATGGGAAATAATTACCAACCAAACCTAAGTTAGTAATCCATGATTCATAGAAGTCTTGCTACTGGTCACATACAAAGTAAACTAAATTCATACTTTTGTATAGTTGATGAAATCATCAGTGAGTACCCTCGATTTAACAAAACCTCTGATCACAGTTCCTAGTTCAAAAAAAGCAGTTATTAAAATGAGAAAACAGAATTCATAGACTTTTAATTTTTAATCCAATGATGGCTCACTTTATGATTTAAAATAAGAGCAACTGCTATTAAGATGTGTTCACTATAAAATACAAAAAATATTTCAGAAGTTGACATAAAATTATTGAAAATAAGTCTATGGCAACTATTTTAAAAGGAGAGAAAGATTTTAATTGAAAATCTACGAAGAGCATCATGACCAATGACCGCTGACTTACCTCATCTGGGAAAAGATGCAACCTCTGCATCATAGTTCTTCTGTGAAGGTTTTTTGGCAGCATGCCATAAATAGCCAGTTTTACAATCTGAAAAACATATAAGTTAGATTCAATGAGAAAAATATGACTTGGGATGTAAAGAAGGCAAACATAATTAGAGATGGTGATGAAAACAAGGGGGTTAAAATTCAACATGAATATGAAAGGAAAGAAACAGACCTAAGTAGGTATGTGACAGCAAGAGAAAAGGAACTTTCATTATTTTGTATATTACTATTTTCTTCAGGTTCTATTTGTTTAATTTATTTTTATTTAGAAAAAGGACAAAAGGAAGCAATTAAAAATAATCTATGTATGTACCAATTTTAGCCAGAATAGGAAGAAATTTTCTAAGCTTACACAAGAACTTACATAAGGGGCTCAAATAATCTCTCACATCCTGGGAGCTTAGAGCAGAATGTAGGAAGGCTTTCGTCCTGTTTCCTCCAGGTGGGAGAGCAGGAGGTTTGCAATTCATAAACTAAGCCTGACCATATAGTTATGAGACTGACTCCATAAGTCACGAGCTATAACAATGGTAATGATTAACATTCACTGAAAACTTGCAATGTGTACAGTGGTTAGTGCACCACATTGTTGTCTTGTTTACGATGCTGAGTCTCATTTCACAGACGAGGAAACATTTAGTGAGGTTAAAGAACTCCCCCAGTTTCATGTATCTAATAAGCAGTGGTGCTGGAATTCAAACCAGGCAGTCTTACTCCCAGAAAAGACACATGGTACATGCAGTCACAGCTATAATGTATTTTTCTTCATAACTTAATGAGAAGACAAAGTCCCTTCTCTCTACCGTACCCATTCCCAGGATGGCAAACGAACCTTTCCATGATTTACTTTTCCCCTTTATCGTCATTGTCGATCTGAATGTGATTTTATGTATGTTTTGTCAAGAGAAGGCCACAGAGTGTCACCCTGTGTTTCATAATCTCCTAGGAGCCTCCTGGTATATAGTGTATACAAATATACTGCAAGCTCTTCATAAAACTACTGATGGAGACATCTGGAGTATGACATCGATATTTATCATCTGTACTCACATTTCAAGGATATAATATGACATGTTTTAAAGTTAAACCCACCAAAACAACGCATGTTAGAACAGGGTTGCACTACAAGAGAATTTCCTATTCCTTTTATTTTCTCATCAAATCAGACTAAAAAACCTTACTATTTACAAAAGCTAATGGCATCCCATGTATATTTTCCATCCATTTTCTGGGTTAGTGCTTCTAATATCTGATGTTCTAGAGACTTTATTTCAATATAGATCTATGTTGTAAAATGAAAATCAATTAAAAATTCAGTTCCTCAGTCACACAAGCCACATTTCAAGTGGTCAACTGCCACATGTGGCTAGTGGTTACCATATTTGACAGCACAGACATAGAACATTTTCATCATGGCAGACATTTTCATTTCTGACAGCACTGATATAGATATCAGTCTTTAAAATTTTTAACGTTTTAAAAGTCTTATGTAGAAACTGACAATGTTAAGACTACTCAGCATCTTTTCTGAATAAGCAAGTCATTATATCCTCTGAATATCATCCTAATAACAATTTTACTGGATTAGAAGGGCTGCATGGCATTTGGTTTTCGTGTTCTTCAAAAATTTAGTTGCTGGGGGGCTGGTCCCGTGGCTGAGTGGTTAAGTTTGCGTGCTCCGCTTTGGCGGCCCAGTGTTTAGCTGGTTCGAATCCTGGGCTCGGACATGGCACCACTTGTCAGGACCCGCTGAGGTGGCGTCCCACATGCCACAAATAGAAGGACTCACCACTAAAAATACACAACTATGTTCCTGGGGGGCTTTGGGAGAAAAAGGAAAAATAAAATCTTAAAAAAGAAAAATTTAGTTGCATTTACTTGAATTAAAAAATTGGTATTTTAAAAATTTCCCTATTAAAAAAGGCAAACATAATACAAAATTAGGGGAAGCTGGAAAACGTGGGGCTGGCCCCATGGCCAAGTGGTTAAGTTCGTGAGCTCCTCTTCACCAGCCCAGAGTTTCGCCAGTTCAGATCCTGGGCGCAGAGCTTGCACCACTCATCAGGTGATCCTCAGGTGCCGTCCCACATGCCACAACTAGAAGGACCTGCAACTAGAATATACAACTACGTACTGGGAGGCCTTGGGGAGAAGAAGAAGAAGAAGAAGAAGAAAAAAAGATTGGTAACAGATATTAGCTCAGGTGCTAATCTTTAAAAAAAAAATGTGACAAGGTTACCAGCTGAGGGGAGAGAAAAAGACAGACCTACAAACATATGTACCGTCCCCCAAAAAATGTGACCCCACATACACATGCAATCAAGTAATTCTAGCTGTAAAGACTTAAGTATAAATTCTAAGGATTCAGAAAGAGAAAGACAGAACAAGTTTAGGTTAATAAATATTAAAGACCTTCCTCATATAATCTGTAACCCAGGGAACGCGCCATTTGTTTCACACAAAATAACTTTATTAACTATAGGAAGGGGGAGAAAACATAAGAAAGGAACCACGTTAGAAGAAAATATAAGAACACAGAACCTCTTAAAGAAACTAATATATATGGTAGAGGAATAAAGGATCCAAGGAAAGGGCTGAATCAACATATTTGAGTTTAGAATTAACGATCTTCTATATAATCATAAAATATTTTTAAATACATAACCTACTAATAACTATTTAAATGTATTAATTAATGTATTTTAAAATAATATTCCAAGACTGTGCTAACAATCAGAAGGAAGCATTATGAAACAAATTCTCTTACAAGTCACATACACAAAGTACTGATTAGCAAATTGTCTGCTGTCAGAAGACCTACTGTTCCAGACAGTGTTTGAATTGGAAGTAAAATAACTGACCTCTTCCCCCCCCTTTTTTTTTTCCTTGAGGAAGATTGGCCCTGAGCTAACATCTGTGCCCATCTTCCTCTATTTTATTCATGGGACGCCTGCCACAGCATAGCTTGATAAACAGTGCTAGGTCTGTGCCCAGGATCCAAAAAAGCAAACCCTGGGCAGCCGAAGTGGCCCACGTGTACTTAACTGCTACACCACCAGGCCAGCCCCTGACCTCTTCCCTAGAAAGCCATTCTTTTTCAGAATACAAAGTCAAAATTAAGACTTTAAAAAAAAATTAAGATTTTTTAATGAGGTAATAATTCACATGGATTTAACTCTGAAATATTTTCCAAGCCTTCATCAAACATTTTGTAATGCATCTCAATCTTCATTCATAAAAAATAATTTGAAACAATTTCTACAAATGTTACCCACTGCCAAATGCTTAACATCAAAAAGTTGGACTATACTGCCTCCTGGTGTGTACAGTGAGCATACCTGAATAAAATAGACGGTAATTTTAAAAACATTTAAAAATACTTATAAAATATTAAAACTGTAATTTGTTGTTACAGTTATGGTGTATATTATCAACAGCCCTTAAAACTTTTTAATACCATCTTATACAATCCATATTAATAGTCAAAGTAGGATACTTTATTTGAACTGTAATAGTCTAAAATCACATGAGTTATGAAACGGAACACTAAATATTTCTTAAGAAGCAATCTTTGAGCATGTTTCTGTAAAATAGATATGAATGATAAAGCTTAAAAATAAACAGCAAAGCATGAAACTTCTAAATGTTATGTGAGGCTTTATTACAATGAAATATGCCCCTCTCCCACCCCTTTACCAAGAAAATTTTAGGCAATACTACACCAAATGGTTGCATATTGACAATGGATATTTATTTTTATTCACCATTTTAGGAAAATAAAAAAGAATGTCTTCACAGTCTATCATTTTTCTCACTTATGAACGCATTAAAGTAAAAAGCTAAAATAGTTCCTGATGGGGAAAATGCTATCCATCCTATGAGCTTAGTTCAAAGAGCTAAGGAAGGAAAAGTGTGAAATAGCAAAGGATACTTTGCTTTTACAATACTGAGGACTAATATTTGAACTAGAAACTTCTTCCAGTACATAACTCAAATGATAAAGTAATAAACATTTAGTGAAGTTAATAATATTGTTTTTGACAATCTTTCTTAAAGCATGGAACCAAGTGAAGGCCAGAAACAGGAGAAAGAACTACAAGAAAAGCGAGTCCTAGGGCTGGCATTTGCCCTGATGGCATCAGCTTAGTGTAGGGGTTAAGTTTTAAAGGATACGACTTTGGGGTCAGGAAATAGGACTGAAGACTCCTTCATAAACCTAGATTTTTAACAGAAAGGCAACATCCAGGATATAGAGTGGAGAAATAAAAAAAAATAAAAGTCCTTCCTGACAGGTAACTGCTAACTATGAGCCTGACCTCACATAGCAGTGAGGCCCCAAATCCAGAAGTCTAAAGTATAGCACCTGCTAGAAGCTAGGAGAATCTTTTTGAAGAAATTCATTTTTAACATAGGTCTCAAAGAATTTCCAGAGACGAAGTTCCAAAGTACATGAGCTTACCACGTATCCTGGGCAGAAACAATAAATTGCACTCACGAAGACCACAAATATTAGAGAATTTCCTTGTAGTTCTATATTAAAACATAGTTTTAATTATGTTTAATATGCGTAAAGAATTATGACAGGGAACAGCAATATGACAAAGGAACAGAAAGACTATTAAAACTGATGAGCAAATTTCAAAAAGAAACAAGCAGTAAAACTGTAAGAAAATAAAAAAATATAATTGAAATTAGAACTCAATAAAAGGGTTAATCAGATTAGACACAGGTAAAAAGATCGAGAACTAGATCACACATGTAAAGAAATTATCGACAATGCAGTACAGAGACAGGGAAATATAAAATATGAAAGAAAGGTATGGAATCATGTACAATAAAATGAGACACCTTACTTTTAAGTATAATCAGATTTCCAAAGGGAAAGAACAGAGAATAAAGGGAGCCAATATTAGAAGACATAAGAGATGACAAATTTTCAGGACTGAAGATACCAATCCTCAACAAAACAAATAACAAGACTCAAAAAGAAACATATGAAGCCAAAGCCAAAGAAAAGATCTTAAAAGTATCCAGAAAGAAAAGACAGGATGTTTAAAGAAACAAATTGACATATGATCTACGAACAGCAATAATGGAAGCTAAAATGTGTGGGAATAATAGCTTCAAAAAGCTGAGAGAAAAAAATGGTTATCCTAGAATTGCATATAGTATAAGCAAAACTTTTTCAAGGATGAAGGCAAACGGGCTGGCCCTGTGGCCGAGTGGTTAAATTCACACGCTCCGCTTTGGCGGCCCAGGGTTTTGCCAATTCAGATCCCAGGCACGAAGATGGCACCACTCATCAGACCATGCTGAGGCAGCATCTTACAGAGCACAACCAAAAGGACCACAACTACAATATACAACTATGTCCTGGGGGGGCTCTGGGGAGAAGAAGAAGAAGAAAAAAAGAAAGATTGGCAACAGATGTTAGCTCAGGTGCCAATCTTTAAAAAAAAAAAAGAATGAAGGCAAAAATAAAGACAGTTTCAGGCAAAAAAAAGAAGAGTTCACTATTAAAAGAATGTCACTATAAGAATGTCAACAAGAAGTACTTCAAGGAGAAGGAAAGCGATCCCAGAAGGAAGGCTGAGTTACAAGAAAGGATTGTAGGCAAAGAAAATCATAAAAAATCAGTAACTGTATAAAACAATAACAAGAATGTTGAATGGAAGGGTTTTAAAAAATCTTGAACAGAGAAACCATATGGACTGGGAGGGAGAGTGGGTGTTAAAAATCTTCTAAGAGTTTTGATTTGATTTAGAGGAAAGTAAAGACACTGATTATTCTCAGACTTCTGATAAACAAATTCAATCAATCCAAAAGAAGGCAAGAAAGAAGGGGAGAAAAAAGAAAAGAAAATCTAGCTCAGTAACATTTAAACTATAAAATGATATATTAGGCAAACACTATCAAAAGAAGGTTGATATAGCTATAATGATATTAAAAAAAATAGACCTCAAATTAAAAGGCATATTGGAGATAAAGAGCATGAGTACATACTCTGATCAATTCTTTAGTAAGATTATCATCCCAAACTTAATTCATCTGACACTAAATCTTCAAAACATACAAAGCAACAACAGAAAGAACTACAAGGAAAAATTAATAATCCACAATTGAGATTTTAACATAACTCTTCCAGGTAATCAATAAATCAAGTGGACAAAAAAAGTCAATAAGATTATAAGATTGGAACAACATACTTAGCATATTTGATATAATGGATATATAAAAATACATACATACACATATGCACACCTATATCCATTTCTCTTTCCAACACATTTTCAGCAAATACATCATAGTCTAGGTGATCATGCAGGTGTCAAGAAATTAAAAGGAAAGGCAACAAAATTTTTTGACTAAATGCAAAACATTCTAAATAATAATTAGAAAGTATATAGAATTGAATGATGATAATACTTATCAAAACCTGTGTGATAGTGTTAAAGTGAAGAGTTTATAGCCTTAAATGCTAGCTACATTAGAAGAGAAGATTGAAAAAACAGTGTCTGAACTAGTCTTCCCACAGATGATGATGAATAAAAAATACAACAGACTTACTGCCACTGGATCCTTCTGGTGAAGCTGAGCAGCTGTTACCTGTTTAAATCCACCTGGGTAGCTGTTAACAGAAGCAAAGACATTAAACCTGGGAGTCAGCTATAGCACAGTACTCTTAAAACGAACATTCTTTTATAATACAAAAACTATTTTTATGAGGAAATTATACTTGTTTCTGAAAACTATGCCTTTCATTAGTGTCTTAAAAATTAAGTAGTAACCTATACTGTTGTAAACTATGCTAGTCTCTTAAGTGGTCAACTATCATTTCATAAAAAGGTACACATCTTGGAAAAGTTCTTGGCATAACTATATTTCTATCAGAATTTAAAGTTATTCATCATTCATTTGTTCATTTATTATAGGGTAGGTGATCACTATTTGAATTAAGAAAGAAAAAGAAATGAGCCAAAATGTTTCACATTCCCTGCCAAATGAGACAAAGTGTCTGTATGAGCTGGGGGTCAGGTCCAGGAAAAGTACCGGGAGACCACTTGGTTCTGAAGTCGAGTTCATACTCTAAACAGGTCGTGATGCTGTTTCCTATTAACAGTTGGTAAAAGACCACTGAGAATCACATGTTGGTGCTAAGTAATGAAATATTTCAATTGTGTTCAGATCAAAATTCTATATAAAATGGACAAACTGGAGATTAAAAAAAAACCTGGGGATAGTACCAGAGGCAGCTTAGTAATTTGGACGCACCACATCTAGGTCTGGAACTTGGGTTTTGTGTGTGGCTATCAGTATAATATTAGGCAACTTATCTTAGCTCTTTATATACGAGTTTACTCATACAAGAAATATGACATCTGCCCATCTACCTCTCAAGATTTTTATGAGTCAAATGAGAAAATGTTTGTGAAAGTGCTTAAGAAATTTAAAACAAAAACAATATTTAGATGTAAGGTTTTAAACACACTGAATGGATAAATAAAGCCTAAATGATTTTCGAGGAAGACGAGAAGAAAATGTAGTCAGTAGACTCTGTAAGGAAAGTTTAAGATGACCTAAATGTGATTCCTTTCCTAAGTGTCTTTCAACAAGACTTGAAAACATTTTAAAGATGATTTAAAGAACCATATTTTAGGAATAAAAGTTAAGGAAACAAATTTAGAAGTTTGCTGAGAAAAATGGATAATTTTCAAAATGATATTCTTTTATTTATTTCACGGAATTTCGGCTTCAAAAAAAAAATACCTGTCTAGACTTCTATTCCTGTATCCTTTCTTTCTATGGAAAAAAAAAATCCTTTACACCTTCTGCACTAAAGATTACCTTTCTATTTTTAACACTGGGATGACAAGTTCTAAAGCATAATACCATTCACATTGTATTTAGGAGTCTGCACTTTATCCTGAAGGATTTGGAGAACTACCGTAAATTCTGAGTAGAGGAATGACTTGAGTAACACCATACTCAGCTGATTTTTACTGGCAAAAAAGTTAACTACATTTCTTTGCCAGTATGGGGCAGCCTGAATGGAGTAGAAGAAAATTTGTTTTAAATGTTAGCAAAGATTTTTTCAATTCAAATTAACTTAGTAAACACTTACTGAATGCCTATAATGCTGGGGATATACAGATAAATAAAACAGGATCCTCTGCTCAAGAAAAATGATTAGTTGAATTCTATTGAGACATCTAATAGTAAGCTATATCTCTAACTCATGCCAATACATTTTAGATGACCAAAGAGTTAGATGTCAAAGTTCAAGGTGCACACATATCCATCAACAGGGAATGTTTATGAAATATGTAGACAAGAAAGGATTTCCTGAGACTTGAAAACATAGGATAAATTACAAAGGAAAAGAGAGACTTAATCACATAAAAGTTAAATAACTGTACAGCAAAGGACATCAAAAATAAAATTTATAAAAAGTAAAAAATAGAGTAGTTGATTAATATTCTTAAAAGATAAAATGTTCAGAGAAAGTGATAAGAAAACCATGGAGACCTTCATATAATGTAAACAAATGTAAACAATTAAATGCCCATCAAAATAGCAGAGTGTTATCATTACTGAATTATGTTTAATGATAATACTGTGTCTGCACAATTTTATAATAACAGACATTTTTATGCACTGCTACTGAAACAGTAAACTGATGTTTGGGAAAAACCTATCAAAAGACCTAAAAATGATCATCCCTTTGATCCTGAAAGTCATTACATTTCTAAAGTTTTATTTTAAATAATTCTATATTTCGAAAAAGCTTAACACATAAAGATGTTTATAAAAGCCAATGCTTTGTATAAAAGCCAAAATTTTAATTTCAAAAACTAGAGCAATGATTAAGTATGGTAAATCCTGTCCTGCACCACTACCTTGTGACTAAAAATAAAACATAAAATGGCTGAGAGTCTTAAATAAAACGAAAAAGAATGCAAATTTGTATATATATTATGATGTTGAGTCATAGGACGGAAGGTGAATTTTAGTTCCTTCTTTAAACTTTTCTATATTTTCTAAAATTAGCATGATTTAAAACTTTTACAACTAGAAAGCTAAATTTTAAATACATAATTGTAATAAAGTGTTATGAGCCTAATAAAAGTAGCATGTCCAAGGTGTAAGTGAAGAGTCAACAGAAACAGAGAAACAAAAAGCAATTAACCCTATGGGGGTGCAGGAAATAGGGAAGATATCCCAGAAGAGGTGACATCTGAGCCAGGTTTTAATAAACAAACAGGAGAGTTCTCAAAAACATTCCTGTCAATGAGAACAACACATGCAAATGCAAGAAGGTAAGAAATAGCAATATGTTAGCTAAAATGAAGGATTATGAAGCAGTAGTGGTAACGGGGTACCAATAATTTGCAAAGAAGTTTGGATTTCCCCTATAGGTGAGTGAGCTACTGAGGGGTACACTACCAGCTGGTGGGTACGTTGCACTAGTTGTTCACTACCGGCTGTGCTATTATTTTCCTCCACTTGCAGTAACACTAGAGATATTATTGCTATAGGAATTACCATAGCATTTTGTGTCAATACTTCCCTTTATGCTTTTATCACATTATGTTATCCTGACTTTTCATGTTTCTTTCCCAATTACCTCCACGTTTTACAGAACTCAGTTTATATGTAGAGATTTGCCAATAGTAGAAATTACAAAAGATGGATGTGAATTTACTCTTGTGAAGTCAAATAAGGATTTCATGAATGTGTTTAAGGGGAGGAATGGGCAAAGGCTGGCTGAAGGAAGCAAAAAAGTTATTCCAAGCACTTAAGACCTCCCTGGGCAAGAGATGAAAAGAAACAGATGGGAACATCAAAGTCTGCTTGTCTAAAATGAAGGTGCAATTGGAAATAAAACAATTTTGATCAAGAATGAAAGATCAATATTCTCACCACATCTTGCATGACAGTGTGGAAGGTATGCTTAATTAAATTTGTACCTGACCTGAAGATGAGGGGTTAACTAACGCATTATATGACACAATCAAGATCTCAAAAGATCTTAAAAGGCTGGAGATAAAACTTAACATGAGGTTAACTTAAGATATTGCAGTTGGATGAAAATGCAACTAAAACATACAGGAAGGAGACAGGGTTGAACAGCATATTGTTTGACAAAGACTTAGGAGTTTCAGCTGATAGTGAACTTAGTGTACCACATAGCGATATGGCCTTGAAGAAAAGTTCTGTTGCAATAGAAGCTGCATAATTAAAAGATGGAGGAAGACTCAGCTATACTAGGAAACCATCAGAACACAGTCAGACGACTGTGTTTAGTTAAAAAAGATACTGACAAGCAATGACTTTCTCTAGAGAAGAGTGACCAAGATACAATGGGCATATCTGAAGTGAAGCCACATAAAGAACTCTGAGGGCACTAGAGATGTTTGACCAAGGGAAAAGACAAATCAGGGGGCACTTGCTGATCACTGTCTCTACATTATCCGAAGGATGTCATGTGGAAGAGATATAATCATTTAACACTGTCCCAACAGGGAAAACTAAGACCAACATGACAGCTAGAGAAAAACATTATGACGCAACAGCATAAAGAACTTTCTAAAACTGAGATCATTTCAAAGGTGGTATGAACGTGCTGCACTGTGAGCTATGAGATTGCTATTTTCAGATATAGGCATAGAGGAATATTGTGGAGATTTTAGGTATTTTGCAAACATGGGATTTTGCTCACCACTTGTTAAACATCTCATGTACTTTCAGATGTTCAGGACGGTTCTGGATAGAGAGTAAGATGAGTTATACGAAGCAGAAAGAAAGAAGTGAGAAGATTGACTAAAAAATGAGAACAAGCTTGATCAGAGAGGTTATGTAAAGTTTCCAGGAAAAACAAATATTGTCAGTTAATAACTAGTATTTGGTATAGTTTTTTGGTTTTTTGATTGAGTAAATTGTATACGTAGCATGAGTAAAATTAGTATTTTCTTTGGGCTGTCCCAGTGGCGTAGTGGTTAATTTTGGTGTACTCTGCTTTGGTGGTCTGGGTTTGCAGCCCTGGTTCCTGGGTGCAGACCTACACCACTCATCAAGCCATGCTGTGGCAGTGACCCACATACAAAATAGAGGAAGATAGGCATAGATGTTAGCACAGGGCCACTCTTCCTTGAGTGAAAAAAGGAAGATTGGCAACAGTTGTTAGCTCAGGGCCAACCTTCCTCACCGGAAAAAAAAAAGGAAAGAAAGAACTATTTCCTTAAATGTCAAATTTTGAAAATACCTTTTTCTTTTAAATAAGATGAATAGTATTAAAGTATCAATAAATTAAAGTAATACATTTCAACTGCCTATCTTCCTTGACAATTCATTCTTACCCAGTATGTGAGGAGTACACTTTTTGTTCCCATTTGTTTCCAGAAAATGCAATGTGCCTTGTGTTCATTATGACAACATGATCCCCACAGTCACCTAGATTTAAAAAGAAAAAAAAAGAAAAAAGATTTCATATGAAAAATAATGACTTTAAGACAAAGTGTTCTTGGTTACTTATAAAGCTTATCGAAGTCTAAACAACACATTAAAAAATATAAAGCAAGTCACACTGCAACATCAAAATCCTTGAGCAGGTTTCTGTTACTCTTTTATATAACATCTAAGTATAGCAAGAGTTGGCTGGCCATTTGGAAAATCTCAACACTGACAGGTAAAAGAGAATTTAACAAAGATGCCAATAACAACAATACATCTTTAAAGGCAAACTACTGTTACTTCTATTATCTCTTCCCATTAATAATTACACTTCACTAAAAATGTTTATATTAAGTACCTTTAAATATCTAATACAAATTTTCTCATAAACAGAAGAGAAAATGAAAACAATATGCAATAGATATAAAAAAGTATGTTTTACCAATAGGTAAATTGAAAACAAATGTAAAACATCACGAATTATTATTCTTCTTCTCAAACTTAGAGAACAATGGAGTACTATGATCTTATGCTTAAGTACTAACCCAAGGTTTTTTCCAACCACATTTAACTAGTTAAGTTTAAACTGCCACTCTCAACTATGACTACACATATATAAAACAGGACAAATGACTTGAAAATCAAAATATGTGTACTGGACAAATTTTCCAGTGAACAGTACTCTTAAGTTTGGCTGTTCATCTAAACAAAATTAAAAAGTCAACGTGTAAGTTTTCACGAGTCACTATACATGACAAAATCAAATAATCAGATACATTTATTAAATGCTTACTGTACTAACAGAAAAAGTTCAAAAGACTGTAGAAGTTTATTTATTTGAGAAAAACCACCACTGAAAAAATAAGAAGTATAAGGCCAGTATATGAAAACTAGGATTACATTATAAGATTCTATGCAGAGCTTGGAACCTGAATGACAGAATTTTCAGAGAGAAGTTCATAGTCTCTCCAGGACAAGCAGAAAGGAAAGAGAATAAAGCAGGTGGGTTTTCTTCACTAGAGTGAAAGGAAATCCAGAGGTGTGAAGGAAAGACCTGAGGAGCTTGCTGTTAGTGGGGTGAAAAGGATAGTTTGACAATATTTGGCAAATTAAATGATTAAAGTTCCTAAAAGTGACAGAGGGTTGGATACTAAGGCAGCTGGGCAAATAAACCAGAAGAACAGGTAAAGAGGGTGAGAAGATATCTATACAGTCTCAAAGAATGCTTAAATGACTTAAGTTTTCATCCACACACTTACAGCTGAAGCAGCTAAGACCTCTTAAGACTAAGTGATTTGCCAAAGCTCACACACCAACTTATTTAACACCCTGTTCAGGCTCTTTCCATGACATCTATCTGGAGGAAAAATGGAATCTTTAATTTTCCACTGAAGCTGAATTTATTTTTTAAATGTTATTTAAGCTTTAAATATGCAAAAAGCAGGTTGAGCCACTCAAAACACACTGTAGAGATCAAAAAGGATCTTTCAAGAGACATTAGAAAGGATAGCACAAATCAGGTGAAAATCATGTTCTTTCAGCTCTAAGGTATGCATGAACATCTAATCTGGGAAAAATTATTCCCCCTTAATAATTTATGTCAAATTTCTATTAAACACATTCTTAGAACCACTTCTCTACTAACTCTAAATAAAACAAAGCAGCAATTAAATATTTGTTTTAACTGCATTACATATTAAAACAAATGCCAATATTATTGTTAAAGGCCAAAATCCAGGATATAATGCAATCATTTCTGTCTAAATAGATACATTTCATTAAAAAATTTTAATTAGAAAGTTTTACATTTTATAAAATGCAGCAAAAGTACATAATTGGAGCTCTATTGTCTGATCAAGAGATACTGGAAGAGAAATTAATATCTTTAAAATTAGAAAAAATTAAAGTTCAAGGGCCAGCCCAGTGGCACAGCAGTTAAGTTCACATGTTCTGCTTCAGTGGCCCAGGGTTTGTCGGTTTGGATCCCAGGTGCGGACCTATGCATTGCTTGGCAAGCTATGCTGTCACAGGCATTCCACATATAAAGCAGAGGAAGATAGGCCTGGATGTTAGCTCAGGGCCAGTCTTCCTCAACAAAAAGAGGAGGATTGGCGGCAGATGTTAGCTCAGGGCTAATCTTCCTCAAAAAAATGAAAATAAAAATAAAGTTCAGTAAGCAATTTTTGGAAATAAGAATTGTGAGTTTATTCACGAAAATTCCCACCTTAGATTTCTGAATTTATCTGACTCCTTTTTATAATATTAGGTGCTAAATCAAATGGCCAAATAAAATTCAAACTAATTCAATCAAATATTAGGTGCTAAATCAAATGGCCAAATAAAATTCAAACTAATTCAATCAAAGTGGAAACTCAAAAGTGTTATGTCAGGGAATCTAAGTTCTCATCATGGGTTACACTATCAGGGCCACTTCTCAGTCCTGCGGCCTCAGTGCTCTGGTCCTTCTCTGCTCTGAGCCAGAACTAACTCACATTTTCCCTTGAAAATTGCCTGGGAGGAAGGCAAGTAACATTTATTCAACATCTTCCACACGCAAGGTACTAAGCTAGGCATTTCATATTTACTTTCTAACACTTAAAGCCTCATGGGCATCTTATTAAGTTGGCTTTATCTACCTCTTGCCTCTCACCTCTTTTATTTTTTAATGAGAAAACTGAATCACAAATTAAACAACTCAGCTAAGAGTATGTAACTAATCAGTAGGAAAGTTAAGCTTCAAATCCAATTCTAATGACTTCAAAGACAAATCTTATCCCTTTCCCTACAACCAGGGCGGAAATAAGCGGTGGGTGGAATGTCATATGGAGACAATGATATCACTCACTAATCCATCGTGCACTCTTTTCTGCTAGGTTCTGTGGAAAACTCAGAAATCCTCCTCAAGATATTGTTCCTACATTAGAGTTATTTGCCACTTTTGTAATTCACCATGTACCAGCTCCTTAGGCAGGTGTTCAAGGAGACTTACAGTATAGGCTCAGATTTTCTAGCCTTATTTACCGGTTCTTTCCCACACCGCTGTATGTACCAGGTAGGCCATACTACTTGCTATACTTGCTATTCCCTGAAGCATTATCCCATTATTCCTATTCCTCTCCTTCTCTCTCCCTCTCTCTCTCTCTCTCTCTCACACACACACACACACACACACACACACACACACACAGGCATGCCTACACACGTCCTCCAATCTTTTGTCTTTGTTCCTTCCACTAGAAATGCCCTCCTAATTTATCTCCACTTGTTAAATTTTATCCAAGTTTAACATAAATATCAAGTTCCAACATAAATATCAGTCCTTTTTCCATAGTCTTTCCTAATACCAACTTCCTTTAATTCTGTAAAGATGCCTGAATCTCTCTTATGATCTGATTTAACTCTCTCTGTCCTATCCTTTGCGTGATTTTATTCCCTCCAGCTAGATTATAAGCTACCTGTTGAAGGCTCTTAATTGTAGATCACTTATGTGAGAGAGGTACCAGTCATGATAAATGTTTAAAAAAATCCCTCGTGGTCACTTTGATGTAAATAGGGCTTGTTCTATCATTTCTGCCTCCCACTCAATTCCTTTCTTAGGTTTCACGGGAGAAGCTTCTAGTTCTTATCTTAGAAATCAGACCATTCAAACTTGTCTGAGCTAGCCAGACCTCATGCAAGTGTAGATTCAGATGGAGAGATCTCTTAAGATTGGTAGGAGTCTTGGGTTCTTCCAAAAATCTGCTTTATATAAAATCTCCTATATATAAAATCGCCTTTTCCATTAATTAAATAATCCACTCATTACTTACCATGTACATACTAATGCCAGGTACTGTTCTTGATGCTGAGAATATAGCAATGAGTGAAACTGAAGTCCCTGTTTGTAATGAATCTTACTTTCTAGTGGAGGGAACTAGACAATAAACAAATACAAAACTAACAATATGCAAGAAGCTGATAAGATAGGGGGATACAGAGTAATGGGGTGGAGGTATTATTAATTGGTACAGGTTTTTGTGTTAACTTTCATTTCTCTTGATAAATGTCCACGAGTGTAATTGATGTGCTGTATGGTAAGCTCATGTTTGGTTTTTATAAAACTGCCATACTCTTTTCCAGGCTGGCTATACTGTTTTACACTCACACCAGCAATGTATGAGTAACCCAGTTTTGCTGCATCCTTACCAGCGTTTGCTGTTGCCACTATTTTTTTTTTTTAATACTTTGAGATGTATTTTTTTTTTTTAAGATTTTATTTTTTTCCTTTTTCTCCCCAAAGCCCCCCAGTACATAGTAGTATATTCTTCGTTGTGGGTTCTTCTAGTTGTGGCATGTGGGACACTGCCTCAGCATGGTTTGATGAGCAGTGCCATGTCCGCACCCAGGATTCGAACCAACGAAACACTGGGCCACCTGCAGCGGAGCGCGCGAACTTAACCACTCGGCCACGGGGCCAGCCCCTGTTGCCACTATTTTTCATTTTAGCTATTCGAATACATGTGTAATGATATTTCCTTGTGGTTTTAATCTGCATTTCCCTAATGGCTAATGATGGTGAACATTATTTTATGTTTCATCTGGTCATGGATTTTGCCCATTTTCTAATTAGATCATTTTTTTTTTTACTGTTGAGTTTTCAGAGTTTTTATGAGACTGACACACTCCCAACTATGCCGAGAGGGTGGGTTGCTGAGTTTTGAGAGTTTTTAATATATTATAAATATTAGTCCTTTGTTGGCTATGTGGCTTGCAAATATTCTCTTCCAGTCTGTAGCTTGTCTTTTTATCTCCTTCAGAGTCAAATTCCTCCTTATAAGCGCTTTGCTTTAGCTCAGTGGTTTTTAAACTGCATCTGATAGAATCTCAGGGACCTAAGAAGGTAACTCAAAGGGGCAAGGATCTAGGGTCTTCTCCCTCCTCCAACCAGTGCAGCACTGCTTTTATATATTGGGTCTCCATAGGAAATACAGTTTGAGAAATGTTTGAAAAACAGCTATTGCAATATAGTGATACACAACAAAGTTTGGTTTTTGCCTTTATGTTTGTATCTAGCCTTGAAGGACAAATGTTCAAATGCCTACCTCAACATTATTTTTGGCATCCCTGAACTTGTACACAGCCAATATAAGGGATGATCATGTAGGTTACACAAAATCTACTGAGTGTAAAGATGCTGTAATAGGAAAGATGTCGTAAAGACGCTTTGATAGGAACAAGCCATGTTGTTTAAATTTATTGATAATATCTAAATATTCACTTCTAAAGAGGTAAATATTATACATATAACCTAGAGCAAAAATATCCTTCAGTGCTTTGTACAATGATATTCCAGGAATGAGGTGAAGAATAAATGTACAATTAAGATCACAAAATTAAAATGATGCAATTGTTAACATCTGAAATAGACTGACACTTAACTGAAGAGTAAAAAGAGAAAAACACGTTAGCTAGGTAGCTTTAAGAAGAGCATCCTAAACTTTTTTTTCTAAGAAGTCCTTAAAAGATTTAAATAAATAATACAAGGCAGAACACTAGAGATTAGACATAATCTAATATGAACCTTTGAGATCTGTGTGCAACTTTTATTTTATTTCAGTCCATGTAGACCAGGAGCATTTTAAGAAAATTTAATAGTAACTTTAGATAATGCTAAAGAAAGGTTTCCCTCTGCTTCTTTTAAACACTCATATAGTCCTCCTCAACTAACTAATCTGTGGCCAGTTAAACACTCATATAGTCCTCCTCAACTAACTAGTCTGTGGCCAGTTAAACACTCATATAGTCCTCCTCAACTAACTAATCTGTGGCCAGTGAAAAGAGTGGAGTCCTCATGAAGAATAAATCATAATCCAAAAATCACCATGTGCCCTTTCTTTTTATTTATCAGTGAAAAAGAAACATGTTCAAAAAGCTCCCAAGTCCCAAACTCAGGAGAGTAGGTCTAATTAGAAGGAGGAGGGGATACCAATGAAGTAGTTCAAATATCATGTATGTTACATATCTGAATAACGTATATGACATTTGAATTACTTTATAGGTCCACTGGATTTTGTGAAGTGTTGTGGGAAACCGACTTTCCATTTATAAGGCTATTTTTTACAGAAAATGTGGTCTAGGTAAAGATGGAAATGATGTGGAACCAGGAAAAGAATTCCCTGTTTCTTCTACAAAATTTGAGGGAAATGGAATTACAAGTAGTCACCTAATTTCTTCTTAAAGTATAGCGCATACCAGTCCATTGAATGAAAGTTCTGCTTCCTTACAAGCAGTCATTACTGCAAAAGTATTCTGTAAGTACTGATGAATGAACATTCTGCTAGAACACCAGAGAGCTTTTGTGGCTGCCTGTCAGGTCATCCTTTTCTAGTAATGAAGAAGAGCTTTTCTATGAAATTAGAAATTTACTTTTTAAAGACCGAATTGCATTGGTTTCACTGTATTATAAAATATAACTTAAATCAGCAAAGCTTCATGTCCACAAGATGTCACTAGAACCAAAACTTAAATTGCAAGCAATTTTCAATTTACAAATATGTTGTGTTTTAAGTTTTTTCTAACATTTATTGGTTTAATTAGCATTTATTAAGTACGTATGATGTGCTCACAATCACTGTAAACATGTTTATTTCAAAACTGACATACAAGTTCCCAGAAAAATAACATTACAAATCATGGTCATACATCCAGGAATGGCTATAAAAGTTAACATTTAGGTGTGATAATGGCATTTTGGTTATATAGGCAAATATTCTTAGGAGACATATGCTGAAGTATTTAGTGGGAGATATATTTATTAAGATATATTTATTAAGTATTTAGTGGGAGATATTCATAATGATATCTGCAACTTATTTTCAAATGATTTGAGCAAAAAATTATATGGTAAAATGTTAACAACTGTGTAATCTAGGTAGAAGATATAAAGAAATTCACTGTTCTATTCTTTGAGCTTTTCTAAAAATGTGAAAACTTTCATAACAAAAGTTAGAAAAAAGTATAGGACAAACAACCTCGTGGAAAAATGGGCAAAAGACATGCCCAGACATTTCACAGAATAAGAAATTATAAAAGGCCAATAAAACAAATGAAAAGATACTTAGTTCCATTTGTAATCAGGAAAATGCAAACTAAAACCACAAAGAGAGAGCATTTTATATCTACCAGAGTAGGCAAAATTAAAAAGAATGAAAATATCAATGTTACTAAAGATGAGGAATAATGAAAACTCTTACGTGCTGCTGGCAGGAGAGGACTTTCACATGAAGACTAACTAGCTTCCCACGCACCTTTGAACCCAGTAATTCCTGTCCTATAGACAGACCTCGGAGACACTCTTCCAAATGCTCACCAGGAAAAAGGTACAAGAACATTGACAGCAATGTTGTTTGTAATGGCAAAAAAACTGGAAACAATTCAAATGCTTAGTGTATGGGTATTCATTTCATTATCATCATTATTGTGAATTTACTTTAAAATGTTAGCTGTAGTAATATAGATAGATACATACAGCTCTATCTGTATATCTTTGTATATTTCGTATTTAAAAATAAAAAGTTAAAACTGTGATCAACTGCAATAAATCCTGACAGGTCAAGCAAGATGAAGAGTAAGGACTGACACCTGGATCTTGCAGGGTGGACTGAAGCGCCTAGGTAAGTGACGTCAATCAAAACTACCTATAATAAGCAGAAGTATTTTAGCAATAAAACAACTTTTTTGTTTTGTTTTGGAAAAGGATACCGAAAAGCAAATCTATTAATTCAAAACAGTGAAAAGTAAACTTTCCATGCCTAGCTAGCTCTATATATCTTTCTGAGGGAAAAGGTTTCTAGAAGAGAGGGCAAGCTTATTTGCTCATTTTCAAAAGTTCTCTATTCAAATGTACTTTGCCACATGAAGAGGCATGTATAAGAGTAAACATTTAATTTATAGTCCAAATCAGCATATTTCTCAGAGTGAAAGAAAGGGCCACTGATAATTTTGCTGGGGCAATGGCGTAAAATGGGTTTGTCACAGGCAAACTGGTCTGTATGGTTTCCTCATGAATAAGCCAAATTCACTTTAGCATCCTAGTAGGTTTTTACCATGAATGGAATAAAGAATTCTCAGGAATAAAGAGGTCCTTAAAAACAGCACAAACTTCTTCAAGATTCTATCCTAGCATGAAAACTGTGGTTACTAATGACAGGTCTAAAATGCTACTCACTCAGTTGATGGTACACAGGTTTATGCAATCCTTGAAGTTTAATTGATGCCATAGCAGCAAGTTTCCCAGGAGGCTGCATTTTCCCATCTAAGAGATACCAAACTCGAGCAAAAGTAGCCCATTGCTTGAAAAAAAGAAGAGGAAATAAAGAAAATTCTAATTAAAATGAAAATATTTGAGTTTATTATTATATACCATCACATGCAGTCTACAGTTAATGTCAGTAATCTTTGAAAAAAGATCCTACCACTAAATAATGTTTTTATTTCTATTTCTGAAAAAGGGGGATCTTTTCTCAGTATTCTGCAGATTAACACAGTAGTTTTTCCTGCCTGCTTTTCTACTAACAATATGGATTATGTTTTATTAAAAACAGTCCAAAGACATATATCCCTTTATATTATGATTTATACTTTTCATATCACATAGAATAATATCTGGAGGGGTAATGAGAAGCTCTTATGAAAGCTGAAGTTGTTTATGAAGGTCTTCAAAAATATTTTGAGATTAGTAGAAACACTACATTAAAAGATGTGTGGCCAATTAAGAACTAAAGACTATTCAGTAGTTTAATTCTAATGGAGAGTTAAATATGAGTGCAGCTGGAAGAGCATAAATGGATGATGTTGAAAAAGCTTAACATTTAAAAAACTGCCTCACATGGACATCTTTAGGCTGCCTCAGGCACAGACCACCATCTTTGCAGTGCCCATCAGCGCCTTCAAATTCTAAGAAAATTACAGCCCAGGAAGACCTCAACTAGATGCTTTCCCTTTGCATATACACAAGCAACGAAACAATGCTGGAAAAAAATACAACTAGGCTAGCTGGTTTTTAATTATCACAAACCTCAAATCAGCTTATAAAATTGCTTACCAATTCTGTTTTATTCCTGTTATTTTTCTAGTATCTACCTCGTTCCCCTTGCACACCTTTTGTCAGATTTACCCCTATTCAAATATTTTGATGCCACTGTAAACGGTATTGTATTTTTAATTTCCAATTGTTTGTTGCTACTGCATAGAAATACACTTCATTTTTGTATATTGGTCTTGTATCTTGCAACCTTGCTAAATTTATCAATTCTGGTAGCTCTTTGTAGATTCCTTCTGATTTTTTAGAGATGATCATGTCCTTTGTAAACAAAGACAGCTTCTAGCCCATATCCTTTCCCTACCACTCTCAGCTTATGAACTGGTAAAAAAATTCAAACTGTGGCAACTATACAGGACAACCTTGTTTCTTCAATGAACTGCAAGGAAAAAGCTAGGAATAGGAATTGGAAGCTATTTATTGAGAGAGAATTATAAAACATAGCAACTTACTGCATTTTGGATCCTAATCCAAAGGAACAAACTGTAAAAATATTATGTATTTATATTATATATGAGAAAATTGGAAATTTGAACACATACTGGATACTTGATAATATTAAGGAATTGCAGTTAATTTTTCTTTCAGCTTTGATAAATGGTATTGATATTTTTTTTTTTAAATCCTTACCTTATGGAGATTCCTCAAAAAATTGAAAAAAAACCATACGACCCAGCTATTTCACTACTGGGTATCTATCCAAAGAGCTTGAAGTCAGCAATTCCAAAAGTCCCATGCACCCCAATGTTCACTGCAGCATTATTTACAATAGCCAAGACGTGGAAGCAACCTAAGTGCCCGTCAACAGATGATTGGATAAAGAAGATGTGGTGTATAAACATATATATATACATATGTGTGCGTGTACATATATATACACGCACACACAATGGAATACTACTCAGCCGAAAAAAAGAGCAAAATCGTCCCATTTGCAACAACATGGATGGACCTTGAGGGAATTATGTTAAGTGAAATAAGCCAGATAGAGGACAATCTCTCTATGACTCCACTCATATGAGGAATTTAAAATAGAAGACAATCTCTCTATGACTCCACTCATATGAGGAATTTAAAAATGTAGACAAAAAGAACAGATTAGTGGCTACCAGGGGAAAGGTGGGGTGGGGGGTGGGCACAAAGGGTGAAGGGGTGCACCTACAACAAGACTGACAAACAATAATGTACACCTGAAATTTCACAAGATTGTAACCTATCATTAACTCAATAAAAATTAAAAAAAAAAATCCTTACCTTGCAGAGAACATACTGAAATATCTACTGATGAAATATTAATCTGAGATTTTACCTCAAATTCATAAGGAAAGAAGAGAATGAGGGTACAGATGAAATGATAGTGGCTATGAGCTTTTTGAAACTGGGCAATATCTACTTTTATATGTGATTGAAATTCTCCATAATAAAGTTAAAGAAAAAAGAAACTCTTGACCTCACTTCCCTACCAGGTACTGACTCATTTACTTTTTCTTCTTTGTAGCTAAACTCTTCCAAAGAGTTTGCTCCAATTTGAGTTTACTCAAACTTTTTACTCCAATTTGTCTCCCCTCATTCTCTCTTTTTTTTTTTTTAAAGATTTTATTTTTTCCTTTTTCTCCCCAAAGCCCCCCGGTACATAGTTGTATATTCTTCGTTGTGGGTCCTTCTAGCTGTGGCATGTGGGACGCTGCCTCAGCGTGGCCTGATGAGCAGTGTCATGTCCGCGCCCAGGATTCGAACCAACGAAACACTGGGCCGCCTGCAGCGGAGCGCGCGAACTTAACCACTCGGCCACGGGGCCAGCCCCTCCCCTCATTCTCTCTTCAACCTACTCCAACCTGGCTTTTGCCTTCCCGCACCCAACATCATCACTCTACTGCCTGTCAAGGTTACCATGACCTTCATGTTACTAAATCCATTGGTCAATTTGAAGTCTTCGACACAGCTGATCGTTCCCCTCTCCTGGGTATTCTTTCTTCACTTGATTTCCAGGACACCACCTTCTGTTGGTTTTTCCCCCACCTTTGCTGGTTCTCCCCTTATCTCTTGCCTCTGAAATGTTGTAATGTCCCAGAACTCGGGATTTGGTCCTGTTCTCTTCTCTTTACTCATTTCCTCAAAGACTTCATCCAGACCCATAACTTTAAATGCCATTTGTATGTTTAAGATTTCCTAATTTACATCTTCAACCTGGACCTCTTTACTAAAACTCTACACTTGTATCCAACTGCCCACTGGGCATCTGCACTACAGTGTTTCTTAAACCATACGTAGCAAAATACTAGTTTTTCTCCAATCAATTGCAGACCGATACTTTGATAGAAAAAAAAGTGGTTAAAAAAATTAAAATACTGCACAATATCAAATTGTTATAGAAGTTTTTAAATGGTTAACTTTACTTCCTTTATTTACCTCATCAGGGACAAGTACTAGTCCAAAGAAGGAATTACACACGGAGCAGGACTGGGCTAAGAGGCATCTCAGACCAACACATCCAAAACTGAACTCTTGCTCTTTCACCAGAAACCTGCTTCAATCTCAGCCTTGCCTATCTCAGTTGATGGCACACGCTTCAAGTTGTGGAGACAAAAAACCTGGGAGTAATCCTTCTTTCTTCTTTTCCTGTCAGCCCACATTCAATCTTTTAAGAAATCCTATTGGCTCCACCTTCAACAAACCTGACCACGTTCCAACACGACACTGTTACTAGCCTAGTTCGTGCCTCCATCATCTCTAGCCTGGATTACTGCAAGAACTTCCAAATGGATTCTTTGCCTCTATCTTCCACCGATCCCCATCTCTGAGCTAGTCTGTCCTCGATTCAGCAGCCAGAGTGCTCCTTTTAACATCTGAGTGAGATCATGTTGCTCCTTGGCTCAAAAACCTTCAGTAGGTCCTCAATTTACTCAGTAAAAATCAAATTCTTACAATGGTCTACAATGCCGTATGTGACTCATCTTATTACCTTTCTGACCTTCTCTCCTAACACTCCTTCCGGGAAAAAACAAAAAACACATGAAACAAAACACATGAAAAGGGCTGACTGAAAAGAGGAGAGGACGGCTACCAGTGAACGAGAGCAAGCGGTGGCCAGAATCACTATCCTCGTTTGTGCTTTCCCAAGGCACTTCCTGGCCCAAAGACTCGGCTCCTGCCATCTCAGCTTCACTCAACCCGCCGGAGCCATTGAACTCCTTCTGTCAGTGTAATGAATCCCATCAAGTCACAGGAGGCCAAGCTCACCTGGGGCGCCCTGGAGAAACTCGACATGTTTCCCCACTAGCGCGACAGTCTTTGGTCCAGGATCCCAGGCCAGTCCCGCAGCATCACTGGTCCGGCGGGAAACACATAAAGCCAAGCATGACAGTTCCTAGGTCAGCCGGCTGTTCGTCTGCTTCGCCGCTTTTCTTGGGTCCCCTCCAATCTTCCCACGGTAGCAGTTTCGTCATGAAAGGACAGACTAATGCAGTTATTGAGAGAATCATTCCCGAAAATAACCCGCTTGCTGGGATAGCTGCGGGGAACCAACCGAGAACCCACAATTTCCAGCCGACCCAAGTAAAAGGGAACCGGAAGTGCATAAGCAGCGCGCGGCTGTTTGGATGTGGAAGCCGAGACCTGAAACAGAGGCTCGGCTCCGGGGAGATGGATCGGTACCTGCTCCTTGTGATCTGGGGGGAAGGAAAACTCCCGTCGGTAGCGAGTGAGGAGGCGGAGCATGGGCCAGGGGCGTCTTCCATTGAGGGTACCGAGAAGCAGCCGGGTAAGCCCTGGGCTGAGAAAGCGCGGGAACAGCTTGCAGAGAGGGGAGGAAATTTGAGTTTGTGATCAAGTTCTGCTGGGCAGAGACTTACATCGAGTTATCCTAGGAAGCTGGACTGTATCTGGGATCGACTAATAAAGGCTGAAAAATATCATAATTTTCTTGGAAAAATAGAGATAAATTTGTGGATGTAAGATTCCAGCGCTCAGAAGTTCTTGGCAAAGTGAAAATTTAACTGAATAGATTCTCTGTGCCTTATTAATGGAATTTCTTCTCTTTGGAAATATATGCATTCAATGGGCATTTCTGCCTCCTGTGTTCCAAATGCAGATAATACAGAAAGGAGCACTATGGCAAAGGATATTACCCTCCTAGAGTTTACATCCTAATCGGAGGAGACATCCCCTCATAAATTAAGTTAAAAAAACAAGTGATAAATTTAAAACAATTTTAACGGTTTGAGATTACATTGCTTTTTGGTGCTCCTGTCTGGTCTCTGTGTTACATTTTGTTTGTTTTGATAGAGCAGGCATTTTGAAGAGGAAGTGTGTGCTTGTGTATAGAGTATTGTGACAGGGTTTCCCTTCTCAGTTTGAAATTATTCTTTTGGGGGAAATTTGGATTTGTGTTAACTGACAGGCATGTGCAAACAGTGAGCTTTTCCTATTTCTCTGCTTGCTTTAAGATTTGTTATTTCAAAACTTGAACAGAGCATAGTTCTTTTATGTACAACATATTCTTGAGAATCTCCTATGGTGAAATTGGAATTTCACTAGATTACGTAACTCTTGAGGGCATTGAGTTAGTCTTTCTTTTTCAGACTTAACTGCAGCAAATGTTTATGACCTCCTGAAAAGAAGCATTAGTGCTTCCATTAATCCGGAAGATAGTACTTTCCCTGGTAAGTATATTATAAACCCCTCTTTTCTCTGGCACGCCATTTGTGTTGGAACTGAACTTAATTTGTTCACTTAGGAATACAAGAAATACTTGTTGACTGTGTGTAAGTCACTGGGCTAGGGAGGTAATTAAGGAAATACGAAACCGGAAAAGACACTGTCCCTCTCTTCCTGATGCTTGAATGTCATAAAATTATGAAAATTATTTTAGGTTCTCAGCTTGAGTTTTGTTCCTGTTATGAGATTTTCTTGCCCATCTTTAGCTCCATATAAAATAGGGTACTGTGGCATTATAAGAAGGATTTCTAATTTTGTCCTGAGTACAGATACATTATTAATGCTCTTACACCCGTTTCCTTACCATTTTTTTTCATCCTTACCTCTTACTGATTCTTTGAAAAGCACTTCATAATTGTTAAATACAGTGGTCTTCTCTCCATTCTTATCTTAACTTTTTCAAAGTATTTGACTTTTTTGACCACCCCTTCCTTTATAAAAATCTTTTTTCCTTGGGTCTCTATTGGCATATACAAATCCATTTACTTACTTCTTTGATAGTTATCTTCTCTTTTACTTCTTGGCTTCTATCTGAGTGCCTTTCACAGGCGCAGAAAATGAAGATACCAAAACAGACCAAGGCCTCAAAGCTGCAGGTTTCTGCACATAGCAGGGAGAGTATGCTTGTTTTCCTAACTTTGTAGTTCTCATGACTGCACAGTCTCTTCCTTTCCCTTTTCTTTCATTAGAGAACCTCTTGTCTCTGGGGTTTCAACTATCACCTTTGGGAAGTGATTTCTAATATGTACATACTGCCCCATCCTGTTTGCCAAGTCCCAGTAGTACTCATTAATTTTTTAAGTTGGTGTAATTTATGTCAGTACTACTATTACTGCAAGAAAGATTTTCCTTCATTTCTGCCTTAAATGTGTATGTAAAAAAGCTGTTGGCAGTATTCTAGAGGTTCTCATGATAACTTTCACTTTACATTTGGGTAGATAGAAGTTTCTTCTTCTTTTTTTTTTTATTGAGAATCTCTCTCTCTCTCTCTGTATGTGTGTGTGTGTGTATATATATATATATATATATATATATATATATATATACACATTTTTTTTTTCAGGAAAAGTTTCACCCTAAGCTGACGTCTATTGCCACTCTTCCTCCTTTTTCTTCCTTTTGTCCCACAAAAGCCGCAGTACATAGTTGTGTATAGTTGTAAATTTTTCTAGTTATGTGTGAGCTGCCACTACAACATGGCTACTGACAGACTAGTGGTGTGATTCCATGCTCAGGAACTGAACCCAGGCCACTGAAGTGGAGCACGCAGAACTTTAACCAGTAGGCCACCAGGGCTGGCTTGATAGAAGTTTATAGGCAGTCCTTGTTTGTATGGTAATGGGGGACCCTATAAGTGTGCAAGCTGAAGCCATGCAAAGCCATCCTTAATATAACAATCAATGGGGAAAATTACAAATGTTCCATGAGATTTTTTTTGTCAAAACATTAAAAATTCTTACTATTGGTTATAAATGTAGAGGAAAGGAAAAACATAGAACTAATATTTATTTCATATGCTGTAGTTTAAAACTTCAGAAACGTTGAGAATTAGTGTTGCATTTTTTTATGAAAAGCTATCAAGTAGTTTGAACAGTGCTGGCTACCTTCTCATCACCATATAACTTATGATACAGAGTGAGCATCTTTTCTGTGTTTTGGTGAATTGTTATACTCCTAAGTTTGTATTAGCCTCCGATGTTTTATCCTTTCCAATTTTAATGTTGTGAAATGTCTCTGAGTTCCTTTAATGCAAAGGTTTTTGCCAGCATCATTTTCTCTGGGACGTCGTCATCCTTTTTGTCACACTGTTTTTGTTACAGCAGCTATTTCTAGAATCCATTTGTAAGCTTGAGTATCACTTTCAGTGTTATTACTTATTGGTTTTTTTTGCTGTGCTGCGTCTTTTTCTTTTTTCTTTTGCCAATTCCTTCTTCCTATTATTCATTTTGGAATATCACATGGATTTATCACTAGGAGACAAGGAGGCAACAGGATTAAATCTTTTGCCGTCTATATGAACTGAATGACAGATGTGCAGTGACCACTCAGCAACAAACTTTGAAAATAGTAATGTGGTTGGTCATTGATCCTGATACACATCTTCTATTTATGTAGTGATTTGTGATCTGAGAAGCTAGCAGTGAAGTTTTACTTTATGTTCATTAATAAACCACAGTAACTGGGATTTGAACCCTGTTTGGGGGGAACTGGTATTATTTAAACCATGGTAATTGAAATCTGTGCAGATCGGAACCATGCAAAGAAAAAACTGTCTGTATTGAGTTTCCTACCATGCTGGGATTGTTGCTTTCAATAACATGGCAAGTCTGAGGAACTGGAAATGCAATGTGATTGTAAATGAGATAAGGCTGGAGAGGTGTAGGCATAGCTATGTAGAGGACTTTGTAAATCGTCAGAGTGTTTGGATTTTTTCCTAATGGTAATTAGCAGCTATTGAAGGCTTTAGTGAAGGAAGAGACATGATCAGGTCTGTGCTATGGAAGTATTCTGGCTATGGTATGGTAGACAGATTAGAGGAAAGTAAGGGGGCTGCTGCAGAAGACCAGCTAAGCAATGAGAGTGGCAGCCAGGCTGGAGGAAGGTGGATAGATCTGAAGGAAATTATGGAGGTAGCACCCATCTGACTTAGTGTTGGATTGGTATGATTTAGGAGAAGGGAAGAGTGAGGAAGGAATCAAGGATGATGTTTGATTTCTGGCTTGGGTAGTAGTATAGATGGTGGCATTTAGTGAGATAAGAGAATTAGATTTTGAGAGAATATGACATGTTCAATTTATAACTTGTTTAGTTGCCTGTAAGATGTCAAAGTGAAAATGTTTTGTAAAAGTTGGATATATGTGTCTGCAACTCAAAAGACAGGGTAAGGCTGGAGATAAATATTACAGAGTCATCAATATATAGACATCAGTTCAAGCCGTGAGAGAAGATGGGATTGCTTGTGGATAGCAGAAAATCTCGAGCTGAATCCCAGTATGTATTTAAAGGAACTGAACCCCAGTTTTTAAAGGAACGAGAAGGAGCAGCCTGAAAGATAGATTGCACAGAAGCCAAATGTTTTAAGGAGAAAGTAGTCAACCGTGTCCTCTTTGATTCCTTTCTTACCCTTATGTTGAGAGGTCAGGTAACAACAGAACTAAAAAGAGTCTGTTAGATTCAGTAACATGTTAGTTATGGGTGACTTTGGTGAGTGGAGTTATAGTGGCATATTGGAGACAAAAAACAGATTGAAATAGATTTGGAGGGAAGTACAAGAGGTGACGAAATGGAAACAGTCAAGTATAGACAGCACTTTCAGAAAGTTTATCCTTGAAGAATAAAGAAAGAGATATAGTATCTGGAAAAGGGAGGTGAATTTAAAGGAGATCTTCTTTTGTTTTTTTAATGACTTGAGAAATACTTGTGCAAATTTAAATGCCAATAGGAAGGAACTGACAGTGGAGGAGAGATTGAAGATGCAAGAAAGGTAGTATAATGAGTGGCCTGGGGTCCTGGCAGAAGTCTGAGGGATAACCTTGTTGGAAGGGCAGTGCCTCTTATGTGTTAACAGGAAGGAATGAGGAAAGACTTAATGGGAATGCAAGTACGTCATATG